CTTGGAGGACTCCTCTACAAGCACTGATCTGCGACGGTCCCTATTTCCAAGGTGGAGGAGAAAGGGAAACAGCCAATCCCTCAAGCCCTTAGTGGGCAAACCAGCAGCAACTGCCTAGACTGCACCGAGAGGATCAGGCGATATTGATGAAAACATCCCTGTTGGTGTTAAGGAGCCATTCCAACTCACTGTGGCCCCGTGACAGGGTGGAGAACTGCCTCATGGGTTGTCACTGTCCGTAATAATGCATTTCTTTTTATTGCTCAATAATATTCCATTGTATGGGATTCCACAGTTTATCCAATTCCCATCTTGGCTATTGTGAATAAAGCTAATATTACTATCCACACTCATGCCAGGTTTTGGATTGAACCTGTTTTCACATCAGATGGATAACTATCTGGGAGCAACACTGCTGGATCAATGAATAATATGAGTAGGTAAGGTGCTTACGTTTAGCTCTGCAGGAAGCTGCCACGCTGGCTCCTAACACCGTCATGCCACTTTGTGTTCCAAACAAAGAAATGGGAGTGTCTATAGCTCCTCATCCTCACCAGCATTTGGTACTGTGAATGTGTTATGTTTTAGCCATTTCAATAGGTGCCAGGAAATATCTCACTGTTGTTTTAATTGGCAATTCCTTAATGAGAAATGATGCTGAGCACTTTTTTTCAGATTTCTATTTGTCATCTGTACATCTTCCTTGGTAAGTTGTTGATTCAGAACTTTGGCCTATTGTAAAATTGAGTTGTTAGTCCTCTAATGGCTGAATTTTAAGAGATCTTTGTAGATTTCATATTCAAGGCCTTTATCAGATCACGTTTTGCAACATTTTGCGATGATGTTCTCCGACCGACCGGGTGTGTCTCAGTTAGCAGCTGAAAGCACCAGACCCCTTCAAATATGACTGCAGCGCCCCAGGCTGTGTTCCTAGCACTGCACTGTCTCCCTTTTAGAGGGGAAGTGTGGGTGCTTAGGGCGGAAAGCAGTCCAGGGAACCACACAGGGCAGCCACCGTCTTACAAGGCTGCCTCATCCCTGATCCCAGTTTGTTCCCGGTTTTCCTGCTGAAACATCTCACAGGCGTTTAGTGGTGTGAATGAAAAGTCTGGTGCTTCTAAGCTTCAGCCTAAGGTTGACCTACTCCATGTTTCCAGGCAAGACTGTGAGCTCCTGTACTCCCTACAGCTTCCCCTCGCTGGGTGATGCTTCCCAACCTCCTCACAGCAGCGTTGTGTGGGATAGAGGCAAATGGAATCGGCATTAGTCACTAATAGGCAATTATGCTCATTTAGACCACATTTAATTCGATAAA